CTAGCAAATAGCAAATGTTATTAGTAAGAAGTAAAGTTTCTTCCTTTATAGGTCAAATATTGACAATATCAGGTAGGTTAATCAAATAAGTGTTATGTGTTATTAACTTAGAGGTTGAATTATGTCATTGAAGGTTTCTATCCTCCCTAATTGCATCCCATCTCATCTTTCTTTCTTATGCATATATCTCAATTCAGTAGTTATTCCTGCTAATTCTCCATTTCATCAACTGTCTTACAAGTGAATTATTTCCCCTTCAGTTACTAAAACCAATATGGATACCCCTATATCAGATTCCACGACAACATTGCCAAACTGTATATTTTTCATAGAGCTATGACATATTTTAATATGTTGAGGGAAGATATTTCCTATGTTGAGGGAAAACTATATAGCAGAATTTTTATATATTTTTATCTGCTGGATCAGACTTGTAGAAAAGGCACATTTGTAAAGGGGATTTTATTTAAAAAACATTTCAGATAATTAATTCATTTTACAATTACTTACTTTGATTTTATTGAGCATATCTTGTACTCAAGACACAATACAAAATACAATCAGTATACAAAGAAAGTTACAGATTTGCTATTACTCATAAGCATAATATATTACAGGATTTATATTATTAGTAAACATAATATATATTATCTAGAATTTAATTTTGATACATAACTGGTAATAAAATATTTGAACCAACTAAAATAAGGAAAAATGTTTCATGACAAAATTTTATAGGCTAGTATTATGCAAAGATAACTCTGAAATCAGATTTTTACCTCAGAAATTTTAATAGTTATCAACTTCTATAAAACCAGTTATCCTAAAAGTTAGCAACACACCACAATAAACACTTCTTTCACACAATTTTCAAAGATGAGGATTCCAGGAGTTTTTGCACTGTGGTTTCTGACTCAAGGTCTCTCTTGAAGTTTCCTCAAGTGATTAGACAGGACTACCGTTATCTCAAAACTTGACTGAGGATGGAAGATCCACTTCCAAGCCAGCCTCCTATGTAGCTGTTGGTGGGAATCCCCAGACCTTTTGGATTTCTGTAGAACATCTCAGGCCTCTTTGGGTGGGACTCTGCCTAGGGCTACTCAACCCCTGATAGTGAGAGCCTGTGTTGAAAGAGAGTAGCAAGGAGAAAACCAGAGTGACTTTGAGGATCCAATCTACAAATCTGTGCTGTCTTTCCTTTCTTCTATTTGTTAGAAGTCACTAATTGCTGAAAGAGTACATGAGATGATGATATATTAAGTACCTTGATTTGGTTTTTACATGATGTGTGCATATATCACATTGAACCTCGTAAATATAACTTGAATGTAGGGAGGATCAGGCTCTATCTTTTGAAAGACTTTATGGATGTATTTTAAAATTACCACAAAAGTGATATATCTCATTGGAGTAATTCATTTGAACTTTTTAAAACTTCTAATGGAATTCTGTGCTTGCATGTACTTTAAAAAATTATTTTAGTTTGTTAGTATATGTGTGGTATATAATGTTTACTTTCCTTGTGGGAAGTAAGTACATGCACATAACTCATCCTAATCCCTTTTGAAAATCCCATTTCCCTTCCCTCCCTCCAACTATCTCTTGATCTCTTTCCTTCTGTTTTTGTACATATTGGCAGCATATGTTTACATTTGTTGTATGGAGTGGGTACATGTATGTAACATCCCAATTCCCATATTTTGCATTCCTTATCCCTTCCCTCTCTTTGTTCACAACTTTTAAATCAAAGGATTTAAATTACTGGTTTAAAAAAGTAACATATTCATTAAATATCAATAAACACAGCAAAACTAGAAGCACATGAATCAACCATAATTCTACAGCCTAGAACAACTTTTGACATGTTTTTGGTTTGTGTGCATTCATTAAAAATGAGTGTGTGTATATACACATAAACACACATATAAATGTTAAGAATAGTATATATATTTTGATGCATGTACATATTATGATATATATATATATATAATTATAAAATTTTGGGGAATAATTTTAATAACATTTTCTGTTTCCTTCTTTAACCTTTTTTCCCAATTTTTTGAATATGTAGGCTTTTTATTGTCTTTTATCACAATAAATAACAGTACAATAAATATTTTTGTAGAATGTCTTTACATCTATGATTATTTCCAAATGGTAAGAGTCTACAAGTAGAATTATTTAAATTCACTAATCTTTCTTCAAGAAAAATTGTATTGACATATTTATATTTCTTCTAGTTGGTGTCCATCTCATTGTGATGTATTGAGTAGATACTAAAAGATAGGCATGCTACTGACATGCTAATTATTATTTTATTGTCTCTCAACCCCAAATTGTTGCCACCTGTGAGAATGGACACTTAAGTATTTCCTTTGCAGCTCACATGATGTCATGCTGTGTCAGCAGAGGGTATATGAGCAACTCTGCAGAAGGATGAAGTATTCTGATTCTCAGAGGCCCTTAGCCACGCTCCTGAAGATGACATGTTTTCCTCCACTGCTCCACCCACACTGGTTTTCCCAGTGGTAGGTGTCAGTATTATGCCTCTTTCTTCAGCACCTATGACCTAGCTGGCTTCTTCAGTTTTTATTTGACCAGTGATGGCACAATCTCGAGCCCCAGTTCAGGATTGTTCTAAGCTTAGCTTCAATGACTACTGTCCACAAAAATCTTTTCAGCAAGATGCAGGTTCACTGAGAGATGTCTTTGTGGCCAGCCATCTTGTGAGCTGTTTTCCTTACATTTGTCATATGCACCCTTGAAGATGCTCTAGCAAGTTATGCATAATTACATGAGATTCCTGAAAGAGCCACCCCCCAGCTCCTAGTCCAGCAGTATATGGAGCAGCACCCTTGACCTTTGTGCTCACCTTTAACAAAGCTCCAAGTCCCTCTGTATGCTCACTTGTCCACATCACAGAGGGTTGTTCCTGCTCACTGGCAAGTGTGGTGCAACTCTGAGACCTGAGAAACCAGCAAACTTCTACTCACTGGGCTGCAATCACACCCTATCTAGTAAATTCAGAAATGTCTCTTCCTTTTTCAGATTTGCCTGCTTGGTTTTAAGGTATCTTTTAGAGTTATCCCCTATCATAGCCTAATAATTCTTTTTTCCCCTTTGCAGCACTGGGGATTGAAGCCAGGATCTTGCACATACCAGTCAAAGGTTTTACCACTGAACTAATATCCTCAGCCCGTGTAAAAATTTATTTTGAGCCAAGGTCTCATGGTATTGCCCAGGTGGCCTCACACTTGCAGTGCTCTTGCCTCAGCTTTCTAAGTAGCTGGGATTAAGGCATGAGTCACCATGCCTGAGAGTTTAATAATCATTCTTTATACTAAACTTCTCCAGTGTTTCTATTGATTGGTCTCAGACTAATACATATTTGATCACTGTTAAAATACAACTTTTTATGTAATTCATAGGCATTTGCATTTCTTCTGCAGTTTTTCTTTTTCTTTTTTGGTAATGGGGATTTAACTCAGGACATTGTGCTCACAAGGAAGGCAACAGAACCACTGAATTAAATCCCTGGGCCTTCTGCAATTTTTCTTTTCATACTATTTATAATCCCTCTCCACCATACCCTGCTGCTCAGGCTTGTTACTTTTCTTATGAATTTTGTAGACTTTCGATATATTAAAGAACAATCTTCTGTCTTGTTTATGGAACATACTTTACACTATCTTACATTTTTTATAAATAAACTAAATTTTAACATTCCAGTTGCTTAGTGAGATGAAAGCATTTTCTTATTAATTAACAGGTGAAAGATAAAAAGACAATCCTCTGTTTTAGTAAAAAAAGATTTTCTAGGACAAGAAAAGACATTTTATACATTACTTTTATCCAGTTTATATTTTGGTGCTATTGAAAAGCATTGATTTTTGTCTTAAAAATATTTCACATTTTAATAACAATAGTTAATATTTCAACTGGGTTTAGTACATACAACCATATTATTCAGTACATGTACTGTGATCAAGCAATTTAATACAATGCCTAGGGGAAATGCAAATGGAAGTAGCTTAGGGAGTGGAAGAATGTTGCACAAAGTTTTATTTTAATACAGACTCATAACTAGAATCACAGATGAATCTGTTCTTGCAGTGTTTTTTAAAAAATGAGTTTAGCATAACTCAAGTACCTTGATAAATATCTCATAGAATAACAAGGATGCTGAAAGGGCAGTGCTGTAAATCCCCCACCTGGCAAAGCTGCAAAGTTTTGCTTTATCCACTGTATTCATTCATCAACAAAAAGATATTTATGGCCACATCTTATTTTAACAAATGCATACATTAAGTCTCTTTGGTATATTTGTTTGGATAAAGAAAAATAATTAATATTATTTTAAAGGGCTTTATAATAGTTTTGAAAGTGATCAACAGAGCAGAGAAAGAGGAAAAAGAAGGAGCAAGATTGAGAAAATTATAAAGTAGATTTCTTTACAGCCTATCATATTTTCTTTTCCAAAGAACAGATATCTCTAGCATTACAGACATTCAAAGTCATAAACCCATATATAATCATAGATTTTATGAAAATGCTAGAGCTGTGAAGTTGCCATCAGATCCTTGATGGTGTAAGAATGAGCTTCTTGTTTATTTAAAAAACTGGCAGCATCTACTTCTGGTTATTTCTGAGTTGGTTGATGCTTCAGTTTTCCATAGGTTCAAGCTAAAAGAATTTGAAACTGATATCTGAAGATTTCATAAAAATTAAATTCAAGTTTATTTCATTTTACTATAAAAGATACTTGATATTCATAATATTCAAAATTTTTTCAGACACTGAAACTAAGTTCAATCTCATTTTAGTTCAGCTGTGAAATATAGTTAACTCATCTCTTCACTGAGAAACAGGCTCTTCTGCTTCTCAGTTTTCTACAGATTTTAGGTCATATATATTTGAAAGCAACTTTGGACTTTATGTATTCACCAAATAGTAAAATCTCTAACATTTAAAAAATGATACAGCAATAGAAGCCAGTACCGCTAAACTGTTGTCTCTGTTTTTACTGCATGTTTACTTTTAAGACATTTCAGTAGAATGGCTTTTTCTGTATTAAATCTGAAAATGAGAAGGAGAGTAAGAGTATTAAAAATTGGATAAATTTTGTGTACTGAACCTACTGAAGGACCACATAACCAGATGCATACCCTTGACTTACTTTGTTATTGTTCTTTTAATCTCTCTTTTCTCTTCTTCATTTAGTCTTTCAAGAATGGATTCCAAGAGAGAAAAATGAAAATTAATGTATTGAGCCACCTGAGGACAAAACAAAACAAAAAAGCAAGCAGAGAATTTATGAAAAATGCTGAGTGAGGCAGGAGAGGCAAAGAGAGATTTAGGGTGGTGATATTCATACATCACTACTAATTTCTTCTGTATCTTTATCCATGAGAAAAATGCGAGCATTGTTTCTGGAAGGTCCTTGTAGAAGCCTCTGCAGTAGTGGAATGTCTGTTTTCTTTAGCTGTCTCTGCTCTGCAGATAAAAAAAGAATCAACCACAATCAGGAGGTCATTCTAGAAAAAAAGAAGAAAAATAATTTTCCCATTGTTTTATTTTTTATCTCATTTGGAACAAATAAGGTCTGAAACAAAAACAATTAGAATCACTCCTCAAAGAGACAATCATTCCCTCTTATCCACAATGAATATGTTCCAAGACCCCAGTGGATGATAGACGCCTGAAATCACAAATAATACTGTTTTCAGTACTTTGAATACTTCATTTATCTATGGGCTTTATCTATTCAGCTATAAAAATGAGATAGAAAAACAAAATTTGTATATTCCCAGAACTTTAATTTTCCTAAAAAGTTATCATATAAATACTCCCACCAAAAAAGTACTCCTAGTATTCTGTCAAAGTAGTTTCCCATCTGGGAATATATTTTTAACAAAGTGAAGCATTAAAAACAGTGCTCTTTTTATTCATCTTCTTTCTTCATTCTCCCTTCTCCATTCCTCATTTATTTCCTTTGAGTCAAAACTGTTTTCATATCCTGGGCTGAATTTATCCCAGGAAAAAAATTAAGCAACGGTCTGGAACTCAAAAGCATCAGCACGGTAAGAATGACATTTCAAACTGCTGTTTCCATGATGTCAGAGTTCATTGTTTTAATTTCCCTACCGTTTCTGAAGCAAAGGCAGATACTGATAATTGAGCTCCTCTCATCATGCCTGTGAGGTACCACTTCTGATTCTATTCGAAGCCTGGCAGACCTAAGTGCACCTGAGAACACTTAAGGACATGACTCTACTCTCAGGGACATGCACATTAATGGGCCACAGTTATATAAGAATGACTTACCATACTTAACCATGCATGTGCAGCATGATCAAGATTGTGTAGCTGGTGTTTATCAGCATTCCTCAATATGTAATAAGACACTGTAACTGCTGTGAACTAAAGAGCACTGTAGTTGTTCTATAGCTCTTTCTGCTGAAGGAATAAAGAGACATGCAGCTCTTGAGCTCTGGAGCAAATGGTCCAGCTCTGCTCTCTTCCCATACTGCCCTTACTCTGGTGATTATTTCTGCCTCTTGGTCTTTATTGGGGAACTAATTAATTCACTATAGGGGCTAAACAGACAAGAAGTTTAATGATTTTTGTGTGTTTACCTTGTATCCAGCTTCTCTACTGAATCTGTGAATTAAGCCTAGAAGTCTTTTGGTGGAATTTTGTGGGTTTTCTATGTAGAGTATCATATCAGCAAGTTTTAACTTCTTTCTTTCCTATATTTATTGCTTTTATTTCTTTCTATTGTCTAATTGCTGTGGGTAATGTTTCCAAACCTATATTGAACAGTGGGCATCCTTATCTTATTCCTGATTTTATTGTGAAGGTTTTCAGTTTTTGACCATTTAGTATGATGTTGGCTGTTGTTTTTTCATAGATTGCCTTTATCAATTAAGATAAAGACCATCTATTCCATTTTCTTCATTTTTTAAAAATCATGAATGGGTGTTGAATTTTGTCAAATGCTTTTTCTGCATCTATTGAGATGATCATATGGCTTTTGTCCTTGACTCTGTTAATATAGCATGGTACATTTATTGATTTAGGTGTGTTGAACCATCCTTGCATCCCTGGGATAAATCTGATTTGGTCAGGTTGTATGATCTTCTTGATTATCCTCTGGTTCTGTTTGCCATTATCTTAGTGAGGATTTTTGTATTTACATTCATTAAGGAGATTGGCTTGCATTTCTCTTTTTTTGGTTGGGTCCTTCCCTTGTTTTAGAATCAAAGTAACACTTGCTCCAGGAATGAATCTGGAAGTATTGCTTCCCTTTCAATTTCATTGTAAGGTTTAAAAAGTAGTGGTAATAGTTCTTCTCTAAATGTTTTGTAGAATTAAGCATCAAAGCTATTAGGACCTAGGCTTTTCTTTGTTGGTAAAATTTTAAATTACATTTTTAATTTCACTGGTTGTAATTGGGGTGTTTAGAATTTTTATATCTTCATTCAACTTTGGAAATTTATATGTATCTAGAAATCTTTCCATTTCTTCTGTGTCTTCCATTTTATTAGAGTACAGGTTCTCAAAGTAGGTACTGATGATCCTCTTGATTTCTGCTGGATCTGTGTGAGGTCACCAATTTCATTCTCAATTGCATGAATTTGAGCTTTTTCTATCCTTTTTTTTGATAAGGCTAAAGCCTTATCAATTTTATTTATTCTTTCAAAAAATCAACTCTTCAATTTGATGATTTTTTTTGTATCATTCTCTTAGTCTCCATTGCATTGATTTCTGCTCTGATCTTTATAATTTCCTCCCTTGTATGAGTTTTGGGTTTCTCTTGCTTTTCTTTATCTAGGAGTTTAAGATTCACCATTAGGATGTTTATTTGAATTCACTGTTTTCCTAGTTTGGGCATTCACTGCTATGAATTTTCCACATAAAACTACTTTCATTGTATCCCAGAGATTCCTGTATGTTGTACTAGCATTATCATTAAATTGTAATGTGACTAATTTCTTTATTTTGCTCTGTGACACATAGGTTGTTCAGGAGAGTGTTATTCAATTTGCATGTGTTTGTGAAGTTCTTCTTTTGCTATTGATCTCCAGTTTAATTGCACTATGATCTGATAATATACATGGGATAACTTTGATTCCTTTACATTTGTCTAAACCTGTTCTATGACTTAGTATGTGGTCTATTTTGGAGAATGACTCATGTGCAGCCAAAAAGAATGCATATTTGATTTTGTGGGATGGAACACTCTGTAGTCATCTATTAAGTCCATTTGTTTAAAAGCTTGGTTCAGTTCTAATATTTTGTTGTTGATTTTTAGTTGAGATGATCTATTTGTGACAAGGGGGTATTGAGGTCCCCCACTACATTTATATTAGTGCTTATTTGGTGTCCATGTCCCTTAATATTTGTTTTGTATAGTTGGGGCATTAGTGTTTGGTGCATATATATTTCTAATTGCCATCTCTTCCTCTTGGATTGTTCCCTTTACAATGATGCAGCGAACTTCTTTGTTTCTCTTGGTTTTGATTTGAAATCTACTTTGTCTGCAAATAAGATAGCTACCCCTGCTTTTTTTCAGGGTTCCCATCACATGGAAAACTGTTTTCCATCCTTTTACTTTCAGTCAATTAGTTTCTTTTTCAAGTAGGTGTATTTCATGTATATAGCACATTGTTGGATTTTGCTTCGTATTCCATTCTGCCAGTCTATTTCTTTTGATTGGCGAATTGAGGCCATTGACTTTGATGGTTATAACTGGTATGTATTGACTTATCATAGTCATGTTATTTTCCTGTTGTTGGTTTGTTTTTATTTTTCTCCCTCTCCCTTTAAATTCTTGCCTATTGGATTTGCTCTGTTGGGCCTCCTGGAGTTGTGAACTTCATTGTCCTTTTCTAGGATATTTAAAAATAATATTTGGAGTGCTGGTTTGGCATTTATGAAGTTTCTCAGGTGTTCTTTGTCAAGGAAGTATCTTATTTCCCCATCAATTTTGAAAGATAGTTTAGCAGGATACATCAGCCTAGGTTGGACGTTTTAGCATTATGGAAGGAATTGGCAAGTGACACACAGAGAGGTAGCAGAATGTTAAGTAAAATAACAAGTTTACTTCATCAATGGGGATTGATCATACCTAATGGCAGTGCCCTGATCGACCCAGTACTGGGCCACAATTCCTTCTTTTATAGGGTTTTACATCCTTGATCTTGTTCAGGTGGTTACATTTCATTTTCACAGTTCACATTGCTGATATTCAAAATATGGTGGCGAGGTAGTTGAATTTCAATCCAGATGTAGCACTTCTTTGGTAGGGTGGTTACCTTTAAAATTCATCTAGCTATCTGTTCTAGCCCAGGGGCAGGGGTATGTCTGGTCAGCAAAGTTAACAATGGTTCTTTTCATTTACAAAACTTTTTAGGGAGACTAGATGCCTCTGGTGCCAGTTGATTATGAACTAAATAAAGGAAATGGCCGAAGTTATTTTACATTGTGACATTTCCTAGGGTATTTTGCTATTAAAGTGTTGTCTGTCATTAGGACTTGAAATATATAACTCCAGGCTCTCTGATTTGAGGGTTTGTGTTGAAAAGTCTATTGTGATTCTGATGGGCTTTCGTTTTAATGTAATTTATTTTGTTTCTCTACTTGTAGCATTTTGCACTTCTCTTGGGTTTCTGGGATCTTGACTACTATACGTCTAGGTGTAGATTTTTTTTTTTTAATCAAAGTTGAAGATCTATATGCCTCATTTGTATGTCAAGTTCTTTTGCTATGTTTGGGAAGTTTTCTATCATTAATTCTGTGAACAATTTTTTATGTCATTTGTACTTTCTCCTGCTTTTTCATGAACTCCTGTCAATCTTATATTATTCTTCTCTATGTCATGTAGGAGCTGTTGGATTGATTTCTCATGACCCCTTAGTATTTTTAAGAGATTTCTCTTTTCATGGTCAGTGACTGCCATCCTGTCTTCTATATCTGACATTCTGTCTTCCGATAGGGTTAGTCTACTATGTATACTTGCAACAGAGTTTTTAATCTCCTGGATATCACCTTGAATTTGTTTCATGGTTTCCATTTATTTCTTATGTTGGGTATTCATGGTTTCCATTTTATCCTATGCTGAGCATTCCTGGCTTCCATCATCATCCTGAACTCATCTTTTTTATGTTAATGCTTTAGAGTCTCTAATCATGACTTTTGTTCTCCTCATCATCTCTGTAGTTATCTGGGCAATTATTTCTGTTTTGAATATTTCTAGAGCCTATAGACTACATGGACTATACTATATAGATTAAATGGATTCCTCTCCAGGGGCCCCTGGGGAGTCTGGGCCTTCTCAATGCCCTAGAATCCTCTTTTTACCTCTAGTAACATTAACTTGGTTTAGTATCCTTAGTTTATTCCAGCCTTGATATTACAGAGGAATAAGCCTGAGTCATGATCATCTGGCATGACTATTAAAAACACAGATTCTAGGCAATAGACATAGCTCAGTGGTAGAGGGCTTGCCTAGTCTGTGTGAGGCCCAGACCATCTCTGCCAAGTTCTGACCACATTTCTTTTCTGAGGAAAATATAATAAACCTACAGCATGTCAGTCCCTGTGCTCAGGAAGAAAGAGGAAACATTAAGGTCAGAGGCAAATGGTATGTAAGGATGACTGAACCAGAATAAGAGCTAGAGAGAGGAGGTGAAGCCAGAAAGGAGACATGCAAAGACACAAGTGCCTCCAAGGTCTACAGAAGTTTCAGTGGTTTCCATTCAATTAATGTAATGTCTGGCTAACAAGAAAACTCTCTTGGATTATAAAATACAAAATGTCTTGAGGGTATTTTTAGGTTATCTTTTTCTGAAATTGGAGAATATGATTAGCATGCTAAAACTATATCAGTGGTAGAGCGTGTGTTTGACATGTGTGAGTTCCTGGGTTTATTCCAAACCCCAGCACCAAAAACCCCTCCACAAAACAGTGAGAAACTCTTTTCCCTTCATTTGATCCTTCATCCCTTTTCCCACCACCAAATGAGGTAAATTGCTCTTCTGTCATCCCCATGGGCAGAAAAGCAACACACAAAGAACAAAGCACAAAGAATGATAAAGTTTTCTTACCTCCTGTCGCAAAAATAATGTATAGAGCAAAATCTTGAGGACTATTCTCAATCTGTCAATAGGGAAAAATGAACAAACATGATTTTTTTGTTTTCATTTGATGTTTTTGAAGACAACCAGACCAAAATTATGCATCTGTGTGCTTTCTTTTTCACTTGTGGGCATGAAATCTTCTATGATCCCCTAGGAGTAATGTGATCTATCAGGGCATATTTAGTAACATGTCATGCACAGGGAAGTATCCTTCAGAGATGAAACCGAATTTATATTTACATATTAACTGGTCTTTTCAGAAGAGTAAAATTATATGTCTGTAATTAAATTGTGTTCAAAGTCTTTATAGCTGTTTAATCATAAAGATTACCTTAAATTTTTGGAGAAGTTGCTTGATTACTGCTTCAGTTCTCATGTTACTGTTTATTCTGACTTTAGTTTCTGATCCAAAGGCTGGGGTAAAAATCGATGTCTGTGGGAAAAAATCTTATAAGTCCTTAAAGTTCTATAAAAATAATAGTATATTGAGCTTGAAGAATATAGGATGAATGAAAGTGATACTATTCCAATATTTCATAGAATTCTCAAGTAATTATGGATTTAATTTAGTCCTAACTATATACCAAAATTATTCTAAACTCTTTATTAATTTTGTAACTATGATAAGTAAAATTAATTTTAAATTCTATGATACAACTGAAATTTGTTCAAATAAACAGGAAGAAGTGAGAAAGAATAGGGAGTCACAGGTAAGTAGCTGATAGTATGTGTATACTCAACTTGGGAGAAAAACAATTCTGTGTGTAGCACAGAATAAAAAAGGGAAAACATTTTACTTATTACATAGAAGAAAGTAAAAAAGAATGTCATAAGATGTATATTTAAAAATAAAAAATGATATGAAGTAAAGGTTTGTTTCCATGTTTCATTTATACATGCAATCTCCAAGTGTTCCAAAACTCAGCAGAAAGGGGTGGATCCAGATGTGAAGATGACTGGGTATTGGGTTGGTTCAATGGAATGTTAGATCAATGAGCCATAAACTGTGAGGTCACTATAAAGATATAGATACAATTAGATGGTATGTATAGTCCACTGGTGTTAAGAAAACAATCCAGATATGTAAACAATCTTTCTGGGAGGATATATGGTCTACACCTGGGACAACCTTTAGTAAATTTGAAAAAATTCTATGTGGACATTTTAGTGCATGGTTGAGTCACTCTTTCCACAAATGAGCAGAGCTCATGAGCTGTCTAGAGAACCATACATTCACACTGCACTATGATGAGGTGAGGCTGTGTTAGTCTGAGGTTGTTTATATAACGAAGCTTCATAGAGTATGACAACAGCACTAGACGAGGATTCAGAAGATCTGGGTTCCAGCATCTACTAACTCCAATGCTGTCAAATTACTGCATGCCTTGAACTCTTATTCATTTCAGTGATGAAATAGATTTGGAATCTTGGTGTTAGACAATTCTGGATTCAAGTTCAGAATTACCTAACATCATTGTGACCTCAATTAATTTGTATGTAAAGAGAAATAATGGTTTCCACTTCATCGAATAGTTTTAGTGATTAATGAGATAATTTATTAAAATCTATTTAAAACCCTTTAAATGCACATACAGAGTGTCCAATAAATGTCAGACATATGAATACCATTACTTTTTAAAATTGTAAGCTAAACTGAGTGGTGCAGTATTGTCAGTATAATAAACAACATGACTTAAATCATATTAGTGGAACTGTAACTCACTTCATAGTTATAGAAGTGTCCATTAATAGAGGCCCTGTGGAACTGTTGATCTTTTCTTTCCATCATTAGAGGCTTTGTCCTTTTTCTCACCAGGGCTGTTTCACTCATAGTTCTGTAGAGGAATGGGGATTCTGGTTCTTCATCTACATAAGGCTTCAGAGTACTGCTTTGACAAGATAAATAGTCTGGGAAGAATAAAGATTAAAAGCCAGTATCACTGAGCCACTTGTCTTCTTGCATCTTGATTGGTATATACTTTCATTAAATTTAGAAATATTGCTTGCTATTTTCCAGACATTTAAAACATTATAGTCTTCTACCTGGCCATATACATATAATTGTCTGAGACTGACTGGAGAATATTCTGTCAATGAATTGTATCTCAGGTTAATGATCAATTTTAATTTATTGTGAGTGAGAGGTGAATTATATAGACTTTCAAAATCTTTAAGATAGCAAAAATTTATATTCTATCAGTCTGAACTCACAGTATTTGAAGCAGCTTGTCTATGAGCACAGTACTTAGAAATGATGAGATCAGATCAGGATCATTGTTTTACTTTGTTACTGTTACCTTCCCTTAGAAGAAAAACACTGGGCCAAAGCCATTTATATGGAATTCAGAGCCTAAAAAGATTTTGTTCCCAACTTTTGTGAAAGCAAAAGTAGCAATATGCTTTATATTAGTGCCTGCTAGTAATATATGACAGAGATAATTCACATAATATTCTTTCCCAAATACTCCAGGGATGTGATGATTTTTTCCCTTAATTGACCACTATCCTGCTATTTTTTTTTCCCACTGGGGAATACATGTTCAACAATGATCCATAGTCCATTAATTCAAATTAGGTTGCTGTGTCATTCCAATTTCTATAGTAGGTTTTAGTATATGAAATTATAGTACAGCAATTGGCTGACCTGCTATCTTTTGGGTGGGCACAGAGTTTAATAGAAATGGATTAGCTAACATGTATTTCTAAGCTAACAAGCAAAAGATTCAAAGCTGCCTTCTGCATCATCTTTTCCAGTTTCCTCAATTAAACATTTTCTTCTTAAGAATAGTGCCATCTAGTGGCAAATGTGTTCCATTTTACTTTGGGATTTTTTTTCTTTTATTGAGTTTATTGGTACATTTTAGGTATACAGTAAAATTACATTCATTATTGGGATCTTGTACCTTTACATGACAGGTCTTGGTTCTCATTTTTTTCTCCTTGTCCATGCCCTCCCTTCACCCCTTCTTTCCCTCCTATTTACAAACACTTTATTTTTTTCACTTTTTCATTTTGTCATATTTTTTTCTTTTCCCATTTTACCTTTCCCCTACCCTCCCCATTTTCCCCACACCTTTAGCCATTTTCTTCCTATTTCACATTGTCAATTATCTCATTAGGATCTTATGTACTATTATAGCTTTTATAGCTTTTCACACCAGAGAAACTTCATCTCACAGTTTATAAAGGGTTTCTGTCCATAATTAGCTGGACCCAAGGAAGGATGACAAGGTAGGCTGGCATCACAGAAGAGATATAGTTAATGGTGGGCAGAAGGTAGCTAAGCAAAAAGAGAGAACTGCAGCTTTTTCTATCCCTTATATCTTTTCTAGGCTACTTAGGGGTAACACTCACACCCTTAATCCTAATGCCCTTGTTCCTAATATTGTACCATGAAACAATTCCAGGGTCACACACTATAGATCCAACCACCTCTGAAAACGTCCCCACCTACAACCACATGAAGCTTTGAGGGGACATGTAAACAAATCCATAACACTTATGTTATTCCTCTTTAGATCATCTAGCAGCTTATGTATTGGTTTTTCATGGTCTCTTGCTATTTTTAACGTCTTTCATTTGATGATCACTACCTGCAAGCCTGTCTTCTGTGTCTGATAATTTATCTTCACAATGGTTGATTCTGCTACATATACTTTCAAAATAATTTTAATCTCCTGGATATCTGTTTGAGCCTATTTTATGGAATTCAGTTCTTTCCTATGTTGAAGTTCTTTACTATGTTTCCATCATTTTCTTAAGCTCCTCTCTACATTTTTTTTCTGTACTCTATATTCACTATGTTCCAATAATGAATGTAACTGTACTGTATATCTAAAATGTACCAATAAACTCAGTGAGGAAATAAAAAAACAGAAAATGACAAGACACAGAAGCAAGATGAAACCCCTGACCTCCAGCTAATTCATAGCAAATCCAGAGGCCACTGAGGTAATAGAAATCAAAAGCCACCCAGTTAAATCTTCTGAAACAGAAAGCAACCAGAAGTAACAAAGCACATGAATGAGTCTCTAGGAAAAAAAAATGCAAAAAACAGAAAAACTTAAAAATAATTTCCCAGATCACTAAAGAGATAGTGTCCATAATGAAGGGATTTTTAAATAATATTCCACTGTAATTAGAGCAGCATCATATTTCATCTTTTCCTAGTACTGGTAATTAAATACAAATAGATTTTTCTCTTTGGTGCCAAGATTTGGAGTTCTGCTTGGTTTCATGGATATCTTCAAGGGAATAATTGGAAGAGGCTATATAGTATGTAACATGATGTCAAGATCCCCAAAAGAAGAATCCTGAAGGAAAATCATGTTTGTTATGGGATCTGAAGAATAATAACAAGAAGCAAAATTGAGAATTGTTTAAAAAAAAACAAAAACTAAATATTAGAAGTTGTTGGCAAAACTTATGAGCAAATGCCAGCAGGATATTCTCGATAAGTCTGAACCTGTCTTGGTAACATCACAGCTCCAGTTCAGGAATATCATTCCTGCCACCCCAACTCATGGTTTAGTCACCAGCTCCTCCACGGATACCTATATATGAGAATTACAGGAAAAAAATTCACATAAAATACAAAATACCTTGACTGACAGTGGAGTTTCAGTTAATTACAGCTACCAATAATATTAGGATTAGTATCATCATCACTGTTATTACAACTACTAATGTCACATGCCACAGGAGCTGGCACTGTTCTTAAACATCATATGAGCACTATAGTGACTTAAGTTACTATATTCCTAGGAGTTTTTAAATAAGTATCATATAAAACAAGAGCATATTAAATAGTGGTGTGTAAAAGGCAGACATTTAGGAATCATCTTTACACTGGTTAAAAAAAATGTCTCTCCATTAACAAGATTTTGATACTAACCATCCCGAGAATTCCTTGTTTCAGACACTGGAATCTGGGTTCTGTCCAGATCAGTAATGTGATATAGATCATCAAATTCACCCCAGCGTGCCATTCTCCTGAAAAGCAATAAATCTTGGAAATGACATCAGTACCATTTGTATTAAAGCCTATGGCAGATTTCAAATTTACAATATTAAGCATAGTAGATGTAAACATTGTAAGTAGACATATTATCCAGATTTATACAATTTTGTGATATTATTAAAATTAAATTCATAGTGAAGCAATCAGTATTTGATTTAGACATTTTCTGTACTTTTGGGGAATATGTATTGACATTTTAACATAATAATTTGTCTAATATGAAACAAAGTTATATAGAGTCTATAAAATATATATATATATGTATATGAATGAGTTGGTAGGAACCAGTATGATCCACTTTATAAAGACATCACACAATAGCCTTAGGAGAATTTAGTCATAAATGTTCAGTCCACTAATATGTGGTGAGTACATATTTTAGAAGTGTTAGGGAAAGTGGCTCTAAAATAAGATACTGTACCTATTTATAAGGCCCTTAATGAAAGCAGTTTGCAAAACAGGAAAAAGTAGGAGAAACTTCTATGGTACAAAATTGTGATTTTGTAAAGAATCCTAGCAATTTTTAATAACCCTAGAATATTTACTGTAAAACCAGACAACTGTTTATTTTTACAGCAGCCTATCTCTCATTTTTATTTTGTTTATCTAGTCTGAAATGAGTAACTTAGTTTTTCTTGGCTTCAGAGTCCATATCTGGAAAACAGGAATGAAAATGAGGAAGGATAGGGCTGTTGTAAGGATTAAATGAGTTCATTTGTGTAAAAATCATTAAATCATACTCTGAACATAGTAAGCACTCAGTATGTTTCATAGGAATTATCATGATCATTCTTATCTTCATTGTCAAGCCAGTAATATCATCTGTATCCATTTCATGATGGGCTCCATTGGGGATCTTACTCATTCCTGGATCTCTCTAGATAAATACATACTACTATTATGGGAATGGCCAGCCCACTAGGTTTTTTCCACAATAACTTTTTTTTTTTGGTACTGGGGATAGAACTCAGGACCTTGTGCTTGCCAGGCAGGCACAGCACCACTGAGCTAGATTCCTGGCCCCATAAGAACTGTTTTATGACCAAAAAAGTCATCTACAAGAAATTTTGGTGTTAACTCTATTTGAATGTCACTAGTGTTAAAAATGTTTATTAATACTAATAAGTGATGGATTTGAAAAAAATCTTCCTTTTCCCCTTGACCTTTGAATTCTTTTGAACTCTTTTATGGCTATTATATCATTTGTTCCTCACAATAACCATAAGAAATAAATAACATAATCCTAATATATTTGCTAAGAAAATTTCCAGTAAGCTCTACTATGTAATTAAAATAAATGGCATAAACTCCAAGAACTACATGTAATGGCTTAACTCAAAGAACTTCTCATACCCTAATAATTCTTGTGGTATATAAAATTATTCATTTCCCTTAATCCATAACCAACTAATAATAAGAAGGGACCAGGTTTAATGATCATAACACAGGGTTAACAATGGCAGAAAAGACAAATGCCAGTGACAAGAAGAAATGAAACATGCAAAGTCCCCAGATACTACTTCATCTGGGCAACACTCACTTCCATGAGTGGGGACCAATGAACGGCACAAGTTCTTGGTGACTCCAGTGAACTAGTCAGATGTCCTCCTCAGTTTCTAAGTTTAGTAGCATGACACAAACACAAGTAATCAAACAAGGCCAGGACATTCAGTCTTTGGTCTCTCATACCATCCTGATATGAGGAAACTACTTTTGAGCTCTGGGTTGTGTGATGTGAATGCTACTCCATACCACTCTGCACATTACTAGGTACAAGGGCAGTTAGCAGAGTTTTCAAGAGAGATCTGGTTAAAATTTTAATATCAAATTAGTTTAACTTGTTCAAATACAGGATTTATATTGGTCTGACCAAACTTCAGGATGTGTACTACTTGAAAATTTAAACCCTAAGAAGGATTCTAATGATTTCCAAAATAAAATAAAGGAAGAAATTTGATAGACAAATACAGTGCAGTCAATTTCCTATGCATGTTGTAAGAAAATATAGTCCTGAAGTTCTTCAAATGTGCACCTGTCCATTTATTACTCTTTATCTCATTCAACTGACTTGTCTTAGTCACTTTGTCACAAGGAAAAAATACCTGACACCCAAAATTTACAGGAGGACAGTTTTATTTTGGCTCACAGTTTGTAGAGGTTTCAGTCCACAGTCAGCTGGTTCCAAGGCAGGACAACATCGCAGAGGAGAAGCTGCTTACCTCATGGCAGCAGCATAGCAGAGAGTCAAGGGAGGAACCAGGGAGGGAGAAACACTTTCTGGGTTGAGCACACAGTGACCTGCTTCTTCTGAACAGACCTTGCTTGCCTCCTCCTAGCAAATCACCTGTGATGCCCACATGATCCTATCACTTTCCAAGCTCATGGGGCCAATTTAGACCTAAATCAAAGCATGACAATGCTGACTTTGGAAAGATCCTAGATATAGAAATGAAAACTAGTGCAAGCAAAAATAACTACAGTGTAGCTGGGATTTTCTCCATTTTTAAATAAAAAAGTTTTCAAAAGAAAGCATTTGGCTCAATATCAGAGATCAAAATACTATCCAGAGTCATCAGAACAAAGAATTGCAAGTGGTTTTGTCTTAAACCAACTGATGTATTTTTAAAGCATCTCCAACTCCTATTCAGCTGATAACTCATCAGTGTGACACATTTCTAACATAATTAAATAAACTAGAATGACAAGACTCTCTCTAAGATTTTCTCAAAGGATGGTCTAAAAGACATGGCTCAGCCCTCCTGTCACAGAGTACATGATGTCTCCATCCTTGAAAGCACAATGCTTCTGGAGGCAAGAGAACAAGTGCTAAATTGTGCCCACAGGGGATAAAAGTATGGGAAAAGAAGCATGTGGGATGTTTAAAGTGTGGATATAGTCAATTTTTAAAATGCAATTTAATAGGAGTTGGGGCTGGGGATTTAACTCACTGGTACCATGCCTGCCTGGCAAGTGCAAGGTCCTGAGTTTGATCCCAACAATAACAACAACAACAACAATTTAATAGAGGCTCAGAATTTAAATGAATCACTGTAAGGGTCATAACCAGAATGAGGATGTTTAATATTGGATTGAAACAAATACTACCTTAGATGGCTATATATCCTAATAGAGAACTAGAGGTCAGGGAAAAGCCATTCAAAATTATATTGCACCTTCCAACCTGAATGTTCAGCTGGCTCTCACTGAGTACTGCTGAGATTGAATCTTGCTTGTGTGTGTGTTGTGTTATTTGTCGTCTCTCTGTGTATGTATAAGAAGAGATTTTTTTTTTCTTCCAATTCTTGCTGAATAGAAAGATCTGATATACTGCACAAGTGCAACTCAAATATTCTTTTAGCAAGGTTAAGGGCAGGTGGATACAATTTTATAGGTAATTTTTTTTTTTTTCTGGTACCAGGGATCAAGCTTGGGACCTTGTGCTGGCAAGGCAGATGACGGAACCACTGAGCTAAATCCCCAGCCTGATTCTTAACTTTGAACAATAAGAGATAACTCCTGTTTGCTTCCCATAAATTTCTGATCAATAATGAGAGATGCAAATAGGCTTAATAGAAGGTGCATCAGGAAGATATTATTTTATTATCTATTGCAGTATATGGAGAGGCATCAATATTACCTTTTCCACCTGAGCTCTTGAAATTCATCCCAAAATTCAGGATTGATAGGAAGAAATTGACTATGAGAAATTAAAACATGTGTGGATAGCCATACAGAATAATGATGGTTTAATATGATACTATATTGTATCTCTTAGACATCTCCTTTTAACCTTCAACATTTATTAGACTTCTACAAGTCAGTAAGTTAAGATGCATCAGAAAGAGCTGGCTGCTCAAAGAACTTTGCCATGAGTTTGTAGGCAATGTGAAGTATGATAATGAAGTTTGTGAATTCACATCCTATACTTTAAAAAGCAGGGTGGATGGCAACTGCTCCTTTGAAATGAGGCTCCTCATATTGAAATCATTAACTACATCAGTCATGTAGTACCTGAAAGGGATTCAGGCAGGGCTTCACCAGGCTACCCAAGACTATGGCTTCCCTTCTGCTTTTTCTTATGTATTAGACCCTATGCCCATTAATAATCCTTACTTTGGGTGGAATTCCAGTCAGAGTGACAGATGGAAAGATAGTTGTCAAAAAAAGCAAAAGTATTTTAACCTCAGATTTCTGGAGACCTCACTTGATAATACACTTCTAGCCCCTATATGTCATGGCCACTGGGCTGCAAAGCTGATTCAAGTGTGCTTCAAGTGGAGGACCACACTGTAGAGGGGTGAAAAAAAACCCAGAATGAGCTCTAGAGGTGATATACAAAGGTTGTTAGTGTAGTTAGTATTGACTGAGGGTTCATGAAAGGCTTTTGGGAGAATGTGTTACCTGACCTGAGTCTGAACAGGTAAATTATGTAGAAGCAGGTGGACTTCCAGGCAGAGTCAGGTAAGTAAGAAACTTCAGGTTATATTTAGAGAATTGAAAAATGTTTAGAATTGCTGGAGCATAATGTTTGAGAAATACTGGCAAGATCAAAATCATAATGGGGCTTAGGTATTTTATCTAAAGGAAAACAGACTTCCTTTAAGGTGATACCGGGATTTCCTTAGCTGGGGCTAAAGATCTGGCTGGGCTGCTCTGTCTCCATCCAGCCTCTGACGCACCAAGTTCATCCAATAATAGATGGAAGGGAGAAGCGTAAGAAGAGGAGGCTGAGTATCTCAAAGCATGTGCACAGGGAGGTGAATTGGAAAGCTAGGATCAAAAAGGAGGGAAGAAAAGGAGAAAGATAGAAAGAAGTTTTATAAATATGATTCTTTCTGGGAATATTTAGTAATTTTCCTGAAAATTCTTAAGGTCTAACTACAAATCAACTCAACTTGGATATTCAGGAACAGCTGCATAACCTATACAGGGAGCTGTTCTGTGCACTTAAATTCAAATGCACTCTGCTGTGCTGCTCTAATAGGAGCAGGACAATCAAGTAGAGCATAATGTCTCTTTTCTAGAAGTAGCGACAGTAGTTAGTTGCAAGAAGAGAGGAAATTTAAATTTACTGCCGCCCCCCCCCTTTGGAGACCAGGCCATGGCTAATCCAATTCTGCTTTTACATATTATCTCTTCCAGGGAGGGAGTGCAGACTTCCAGGAGAGAGGCCAAGTAGCAGAGGGCTGTGAAGCCCAGAAAACAGAAGTTCAGTCCAGTCCTGCTGCATGATACCTGGCACAAATTACCTGACCTTGAAGAGCCTTGGATTTGAACACCTAATTCATGAAGTGACTGGAGGATTTTATGAGGCCATGTATACGTATGGGCATTTACACACAAGCATAACTCCCCTCTGTAAGAGCACATGCCACAGAGGGAAATATGAAGATCATCAAAAGAATTAAGAGCATGGAAGATAATTTACCCTTTGCTGGAAAAAGTGTCTGATAACTTCAATGTGGTAAAAGAACAGACCCGCTTTTCATCTTGAATCTTCAGCTGTATAGGTTGTTTTACTCCCCAGAAAATATCCAGCATCCCTTCAACAATTAGTTTCCCATCTTCAGTCTAAGGAAGAAACCAATAGACTCCATAATTTTTCTTATAGTCCTTACAGAAGATACATGTTTTAACTGAAGATGTAGAAATTAAGTCCATAAGAAATGTTAATAGATTAGAAAATTCCAAAGAAAGATTATTTGGCTTCTTGATTAGCTGAAAAATAATTCTATTTTTGAAACATTCTTATATTGTTGGAAACATCTATACCTTGCAGAAGGAATGTCATATTGTAATGGCGTGTCCACCAGAGGGCATAGTACATAAAAATGTTTTCTGGACTCTGATTCTCAAGTGAAATTCTAATGCTTTAATTAACAAAATTAAAGTACTGAAGTAGAAATTAGAATAAACAGCTACTGGGAAACTTGGCAGCTATTTGCTCATTTCTAAATGAGCAAGTAGGAAGAATTTATGACTCATTGATGATATCTGTGGCGAAGAAAGCATTCACATTATACCAAAAGGAAGGGAATTAAACCAAAAAGGAAGGGAAAAAGAATAAAAAGGTAGGTCAGGGATTTAGCTCAATGGTTCTACCTCCTGCCTCACAAATGCAAGGTCTCAAATTCAGAAAAAATAAAAAGAATAAAAAGGAAAATCAAGGGCTCCTTGTGTAGTAGGTTGACAGTTGCTCCCTGAAAAACACTTTCTAGCTTCAGGAGCTTCCTGAACTATTTTTCAACAATTTAAAATTTATTCTTATTATGGTAAAATGCAGAGTAATTGTAATATAACTCACTCGTGTTACAGATACATCATGATTTATTTGAATAATCTGCTATTGGCTTAAAATATCTTTAAATTTTCTCCATAAAAAATGATGCCAAAATGAACATCCTTCTCTACATATCCTGCTGCATTTGTAAGAAAGTATTATGATAGGGCTGGGGATTTAGCTCAGAGGTGCCACTACCTGCCTTGGAAATAGAAGGTCCTGAGTTCAATCCCAGGTTCAAAAAAAAAAAAAGTATTTCTAAAGAAATTGCTCTTCAAAACATACTAAATTTTCTTTTTAAAACAGAAAGCAAATATGTAATTAAAGTTATTTTAAAATGCTTCCCTATCTCAAAAATATTTAGAAAGTCACAGCTGTTTCAGGCCTAGTGTGTTGTGATACAGTCTAAAAATGAAAATTGGAATCAAGCCAAAGATTCACCTATTTCTCCCCAATCCTTGTGCTGCTAGATTATAGATTCTAACACAACCTGACTCCTCTGTAGAAAAAAACCATAGAATTTTTTCCCCTGTGAATCAAACCATGTTAAATTTCTTTGGTGAGCTTACCTGTCCACATAAAATATGCAGATTTTTCTGGTCCTCATAAAAAATGTTATAGGTATTCAGTAAAGAATTAAGTTGTTCCCTAAAAAAAAATATTCAGTTACAGTTAATCTTAGTTTTATAGTAGTAAAAGACAACAATAGTAATTTTAGGTCACAAAGGTATGAGATAGAAAAAAATGGTGAATGGAATCCTTATTTGTGTCACTTTAACTTATTGTAGGTCAATGAAAATTAAAGCACTCTTAGTATGTTAGCAGACACTGGAATGCTAATTCATAGATAAAAATCCAAGAAGGGAAAGCAGAACAGGAGTAGTGATGAAAGTGTACTGCAGCAGAAGTTGTCCAGGAAACAAATTTGGTTTCACATTTCATATTATGTTTTCTAACATTTAACCAACCTCAACTAAGCACGCAGCATGTACCTGATGGGGGTGAAACAGTGGTTAAGGAGCGAGTTCTCCCTACTTGGAATCGGATTCCTCTGGCATGGGGACCCCTGTCCCTGCCACACTGTCCTTGCCAGTGTCACACAACCTGAGAGAAGTGCTCATTGTCTCTTACCTGGATCATTGTTGGGGCTTCCGAAAATGCTAGCTACATCTGCTGTGTATTCTTAACAGCAGGAATTATTTTAGTGCAAATCTGACCATCTCTCCAAGGCTCAAAATTATCCAGTACCTTTCATTACTCACAGTGAAATCCAGCACTTTACAATGACCTAAAAGGCTGAATGTGATCAGTCTTTGGCTAAAGAGTAGCAGGAGCTTCTCTTTTCTTTACTTACTACACACAGTCCTCTGGCTCCTTGGTGTTCTCGGACAATGTGCACTCTCTCATCTCAGGTTTTGGAACCTACTGCTCTCTCTGTCCAGAATGATGCTCACCATCATCACCTTGCTACTTCATTCATTTTCTTATTTAATCAGAAGCCACCTTCAAGATGTGTTTCTTGACCCTCACTCTAAAAGCTTACCTTCTCCTAACACTACCTTCTTCCTATCTCACTTTTCTCCTTTACTTCTGCTCCTGAGACATCTTCTAACCTTCATCTTCCCACTTTTACTTATTTATCCTATGTTCTGTCTTCTCTACTAGAACATAGTACGGTGAGGGGAGGGAAGTTTATGTGCTTTGTTCACACCTTATCTGTCCCAAGTAGAGTTCATGAATTGTAGTTGAAATGTAATTATCAAAACATTCTTCAGTGCCACCAGATCCAGTAAGGACCCAAGGACCCCGAAGGAGGTCTCCCCAGCTGCCTGCCCAGGACCACCCGGCAGGTGTGCAACCTCCCGGACTGTGTGCCACCAGATCCAGTAAGGAAGGTAGCCGCCCAGGTGCCCTTGAAACACCCCCACGACCTGCTCCCCTACCCCTGTTCTCAAAACTCTTGATTGGGCCAGTCCTTGGACCCACTCTACAGAGGCATAGGTGCTCATGAAGGGTAGTTTTCTGAGCTCCAACCCAAGGACCGAAGGAGGTCTCCCCAGCTGCCTGCCCAGGACCACCCGGCAGGTGTGCAACCTCCCGGACTGTGTGCCACCAGATCCAGTAAGGAAGGTAGCCGCCCAGGTGCCCTTGAAACACCCCCACGACCTGCTCTCCCCCACCCCACCCCTGTTCCCAAACCTCCTGATTGGGCCAGTCCTTGGATCCACTCTGCAGAGGCATAGGTGCTC